CCCCCCCCCGACTGCTGACCTTAGAGTTAGTTGCCCAGTGTGTAACCCACAACACCCCAGGGTTCCTGGTGCTGTCAGGTTTCCCAATAACTTGATTTTGATCAATGATAGACAAGAGACCAGTGGGAGAAAACCGAGGAAATCAGAAAACTGAGGAAATCACCTTAAACAACTGGTTTTCAGCAACAAGAGAACATCCATTCAATAGAGATTAAATTATCTCTTTAACAAATAATTTGGCAAAATGGATACCCACTTGCAGAAAAATGAAACAGGGCTTATATACCAGATACCATTTACCCGCCCTCACCCCTCACCCCCCAAAAATACCCTCAAAATGGATCAAAATGGGAGGAAAGTGGTTACCAGGTAGAGTACAATAGAGAGATAACTATAGAAATCAAAATAATAAACCTGACTTGAATGGTTAAAACCTTGTCAGTTGATACCCCTGATGCATGCCAGGTCGTAACTGGTTCTGAACATTTTCTGTAATTTTGTTGTTTTGTCTGTTCATATTAGGGTTTATCTCAGATGTGTTATGTCATTGAGGGTCACCCTCTTGAATTTTTGCTGTTTTTCTGTTTTCAGTGTATGAAACCCATGACTGATGAATCTACTAGGACAGCAAGTAGAATAAGGGGTTTCTGGGTGGTACAGTGGGGTGTATGTGTAACCTGGAGCTGATGTTAAGGAGTTCAAGAAGGAAAATAATGTTTTGAAACTGATTGTGGAGCAATTGTACAATAGTGCTTGATGTGATTGAATTACGGAATGATAAGATTTCCATAACACCCAATAAAATGGTTTTGAAAAAAAAGAATGAATCAAGATCTAAGTGTTAAACCTAAAACTATAAAGTTCTTGGGAAAAATCAGGGACAAAACAATGGAATGTAATTTTATAAATTACCTACCACATTATGAATGCAAGAACAGCAGAAGAACAATTAGATCACTGAGACTGAACATTATAAAAATTAAATACTTATGCTCATTCAAAGAGTAAACATAACCTCAGGCTGAGAAAAAAATCCTCAGGAACAATGTACTTAATATGGATGCAATATCTAAACTTCAACAACTGAACAATAAAAAGAAAACACAATTAAAAAATGGACAAGGGACACGAACAAACACTTCACACCAAAGAGGACATTCGAGTAGTCTACAAGCACATGAAAAGAGGCTCACAATCATTAGCCATACAAGATATGCAAATCGGAACTATAAGGAAATCAAATCTCATCCCTGCTAAAATGGCATTAATTAAAAACAATAGAAAACAACAAATGCTGGCAAATACCTAAGGAGAATGGAACACTTATCCATTCCCAATGGAATTTTAAAATGGCAGAAGCACTTTGGAAAACAGTTAAGTTTTCCTCAAAAAAAAAAGAGAGAGAAATAAAGTTAACATATGATCATGATCCAGCAAGCCCACATCGAGGTATATACCCTACCTAGAGAGCTAACAGAAGAGACAAATGCACACCTATATTGATGGCGGCACTATCCACAATAACAAAAAGATAAAATCAATGCAAGTGCCCATCAGCAGGATGTATGAATAAACAAAATGTGGTACATAAAGACAATGTAATATTATGCAGCCATAAATAATAAAGTTCTCAAAATATAATGTGAATGAATCTTCAGGGTATTATACTCAAAAATAAGTTAATCACAAAAACCAAATATCGTATGATCTCACTTTTACAGAAAGACAAGAACAGGTATGCATACAGAAAACAAAAAACAAGAAACAGCGGTGGATACCAAGTTCAGACATGTATTATGGTATCCTTGTAATGGGAAAAGTAACACTAGATGCACCTGGAGTGTGGACAGCTTGACCAAGGTGACTAATATAAAAAAGATGTTCTTCATAAATGCCAAGATATGTACAATCTACCATCAACAAAAATGTGTATAGTCAAACATGTATGTGTGTTGGTATGCATGTATATAGGTACATATATGTGTGTATATACTTGTAAATACACATCTATTGAGTCAGAATCGATTTGATATCACTGGGTTATATGTATATACATACCTATGTACTTATATATATAATAAAGCATACAGGGGCACAGTTACAGATACTTCTTGGACTTTAGCAAATACCTCACAAGATTGGCTCATGAAAAAAAAAAGAGATTGGCAATGACCTTTAAGGGCTTAGAATCATAGTCTTGAGAACAATCTTGGTCAAATGGCATAATATAATTCATACAGTCCACGTTCTACAACCAATAGTGAGTAGTGTCTTGGACCTTATAAGTTTGTGGGCAATTATATGTGATAGTGGGTTACTTGTTGGACTGCTAACAGAAAGGTCAGCAGATCAAAATCACCAGCCAGCTACTCATGAGAAACTCAAGTTTTCTACTCCTATAAAGAGTTACAGCCTCACAAACTCACAGGGGCAGTTCTAACTGTCCTGCAGTGCCCTATGAGTCAGAAACAACTCGATGGCAGTGAGTTTGACTTGATTTTATTGGTCTCTGTTTCAGAATAAGAGAGAAAGACAGAAATGAAACTCTGGGAAGAAAGCAGGTACAGGACTAATAGTCTACACACACAATGACCTTATGTACTGAGACCAAAAGAACTGCAGTGTGCCCAGCTGCCACTTCAGAGTTACGATCAAGGACACAGTAGACAGATACTGTGGAATACCCAGAGAAAAACTGTGGAACAGAATGCAACTTCTTAAAAAGTTCAGATTTACTAGACCAGGCTCTCTGAGACTACCACCATGAGATATTCTTTACATTTCGAAACAAACCTGTATTGAAGTCATATTTTAGCTAAATAATACACAGGCTTATAAAGTAGGAATATCCCCCTTGAGTGCTGCCCTCCTTTAAAAGTCAACATTTACTCTAACGTAAAAATAAGAAGGCAAGGGGACAGGGAAACAAAATCACTCCATACAGAACGATCAGACCAGAAATAAATAATGAGAATGTTGACAGACTGAAAAAATGTAACCATTGTATCTGAAAAATTTGTGTAGAATACTGTTAAATGAGAATCTAATTTGCTGTACAAACTATCACCAAAAATATAAAATATTATTTTTAAAGAAAAAATAAATGTCAAATGGGAGACACTCATACCCATTTAAAGAAAAAGAAAGACTGAACTATTACGGACTAAAAGAAAGGAGCCCTGGTGAGATAGTGGTTACGGGTTGGGCTGCAAACCCCAAGGTCAGCAGTTCAAAACTACCAGCCATTCAATAGGAGAAACATGTGGTTTCTACTCCTGTAAAGAGTGACAGTCTCGGAAACCCACAGGGGCAGTTCTACCCTGTCCTATAGGGTTGCCATGAGTCTGCATCAACTCAATGGCAGTGAGTTTGGTTTTTGGTATGGGCTAAAAGCTAAGTTTTTACAAAGAAAGGCTTGGGCAGAAGTTATGGGAGCAGAAAGAAAACATGAGAAATAAAGCTGGGAGAAGACAAACTGTGATCAATTGAAGGAATTGGTTAAACTGAGATTAATTAGTTAACCTTATTAGTTAAGTAATTAGTTAAACTTAAGTTCACATATAAAAAGTAGTTTGCAGAGTAGAGACCCAAAACCCATCTGTAGGCAAATGGACATCCCCTTACAGAAAGGTCACGGGGAGGAGACAAGCCAGTCAGGGTGCAGGGTAGCAACAATGAAACATAACTTTCCTCTAGTTCTTTAATGCTTCCTCCCCCGACTATCGTGATCCCAAGTCTACCTTACAAATCTGGCTAGACCGGGAGCCAGTGGAGATGTCTGGGGGGCTGGCTCCAGTCCCATATACTAAGTGAATGCCTGTCCCTCCCCCGAGAAGAATTTATTTCTAAGGACAGCACTGAATCCGCAGCTCCAGGAGAGAGATGTATCAGATCAGAGCACACGGGAGCAGATGACAGGGGAGGAGGAGAGACTGGAGTACATCCTGGCCCACCAGACCTTGAGGACGATGAACCCAATTAGAACAGCCAGTAACAGAGAGGACATGGCCAGCCCCACTATGGAACACGATGGCCCTCACTGACCCATGGCCCTGCAGGGGAAAACACCAGAGACACAGGGTGGGAATTGCACCCTATCTGTTCCCACCACACTGAGGCAAAGCACTGGGGGAATGCAGCGGAACAGCAAGGGAATGGAGCAGCAAGGTCCCCAGTGAATGCTAAAGGTGGACTTTGGGGCCAGGGCGTGGTGCCCCAACAGACTGGACTGGAAAACACTCCTAAA